CTGATTCTTCTTTACCAACATGACTAATGAGGAAATATGCTTAACATGATTGCATGTGTATAAGATTGCTGTCTTGGGAGGGAAGGAAGGGAAAAAAATCTGTAACTCAAAATCTTACCCAAAAAATGAATGTTGAAAATTATCTTTACATGTAATTGGAAAAATAAAATACTATATACAAAAAAAGTTTTTGGTTGAGTATAAACTTCATATGAGCTATTTTATGAATCACCTGCTTTAAAAGTTAACAAAATAATGGAGTAAATATTGTCCAGATACCAAGAAAATTATAGTAGTCTTACTGTATAATTTGGGAGAGCAACATTTTAAGAGAAATATTAATAAATTCTAATTCAAAGAAGTATGCAAAGATAGTAAGGGGTCTGGAAACCATCATCTATGAAGAATGGTTGAAAGAACTGGAATTGTTTAGCCTGAGGGAGACTAAGCGAAAATGTGATATCTGTCTTTATGTAGAAGAGGGGATAGGTTTGTTCTCAGTTGGTTCCAGTTACCAAAATAGTGCCTCTCAGTGAAAGCAGCAAGGAAGATTACAGCATAATGTAAGAAAGAATTGTCTAACTAGAGCTATTCAACAATGGAAAGGGTTACTCTGGAGAGCTCTCATTGACTAGCGTTATTTAAGCAGAGGTTAGTTAAACATGTGTCAGGAATACTGCAGAGGGGATTTTTGTACTCAGTTTAAGGCTGCATTTGTTGTTGTTGTTTAGTCATTTTCAGTCCTGACTGAACCCCTAGTTGGGGTGTGCTTGGCAAAGATACTGGAGTGGTTTACCATTTCCTTCTCCAGCTCATTTTACAGGTGAAGAAATTGAGGCAAACAGAATTAAGTGACTTGCCCAGGAACAATCAACTAGTAAGAGTCTAAGGTCAGATTTGAATTCAGGGAAATGAGTCTTACTAACTCTGGGTTCTATCCAAGTGCTCTATGCATTGCACCACTTAGCTGCCCCTAAAGTTGGATTAGATGACCTCAATGGATCCTTCCAACTTTAAGATATTGTAGTTCAGGGTAGAGTGGTAGGAAGTGGTATAGTGAGCTCTCGTTCACAAACTTCTCCAGATCTAGAAAACATACCAGAACAAATCCTGATAAGCAAATCCAGAAAAAGTCATAGTAAGTCATTTATCCAGCCCAGCTTATCATAAGGAAACAGATAAGGAGGTCTTCAGACAAGGTGGGCTAGGAGCATGCCACAAAGAGCACCCCAGTGCCTAAGAAGAAGCTGTGCACCAGAGCAAAGGGAGGTTTCAGACTCATACCAGAGCATCCCTAGACCCATACTTAGCACTGGGATGGGGACAGGTGCAAACTTGCAGCTTTGTCACCCACTGCTCATTTCTAGGTCACTAAAGAAATCCAGAGTAGAGTGAGAAGGGGACCTGCACAGGGGATTGACATTCCTGGGTAGGGAGGCCGCTGGCTGTGTACTGAGGAAGGAGGAAGTTTAGAAGCCAGCAGCAGCAGCACCAGAAGCAGGACAGTGGCTGAGTCCTAAGACTAAGAGTAGAGTCTGATCTCACTTTCAGCATCTAGTCCAGCCTGCAGAAGAATAACCAAGGCGGGAATCCCAGACCAAAGAGGAATCTACAATTTTGCCACTATGAACCAACAAAACTTTCCAGCTGGCTAATAAGGAGATTCCAGTGGCAGTTTACTCAGGAACTTTCAGAGCTTAGACCAGGGAGAAGAAAACAGTTTTTGTCCTGGATCAGGCTACTTTGGGAGCATTGAAAGCTTGCAGGTCCCCAGCCTGTCTATGAGACCCTGGAATAATACAATACTCAATTACCCCAAGAAAGTAGCAACAGCACCAGCCCAGACCATCTCTCCAGAATTGGGGCATAGCTGTACCCTAATATCAAGTCTGAAGTCAGGAAGTAGGTTGGAAGAATGTGCAAACAAACAAAAAAAAGAATTCCAACATAATGAATCAGCTATTATGGTGACAAAGATGTTCAAGATACATAGAAGAGAATGATTTCAAAACATCTATAAGCAACGCCTCAGAGAAAAACACAGCTTGGGCACAAAGTAGAATTCCTAGAAGAGATGATGCAAGAGTTTTTTAAAATGTTTTTATAAATGGAATGAGAGCGCTTAAGGGGAAAAAATTGGAAAAGAAATGAGAGCTATTAAAGAATTGGAAAATTGATTAACAGCTTGGCACAAGAGATTCAAAAAACCTTACTCAAGCAACAAACTCCCCCCAAATCCAAGTGGACCAAAAAGAAGCCAATGATTACATGAGGCAACAAGAAGTCAAAAGACTAAAACAAAGTCAAAAGACTGAAAAAAAAATAAATAAAATATAAGGTATCTCATAGCAAAAACCTAGAAAATGGATACAGGAGAAATAATTTGAGAATCGCTAGACTATCTTAATGTCATGACTGAAAAATACAGCCTAGACATCATGTTTCAGGAAATCTTAAAAGAAAACTGCCCAGATCTCAGACCAGAGGGCAAAGCTGAAATAGAAAGAATCCACTAGTTATCTCCTGAAAGAAACACCAAAATGAAAACTCCCAAGAACATGGCAGCCAAAACCCAGAACTTCCAGGTCAACGAAAACAAAATACTGCAAACAGCCAGAAAAAAAGATGACATATGATTTATCAGCCACCACTATAAAGGAGTAGAGATCTTGAAATATGATATTCCAGATGGATATAAGCTTATAGCCAAGAATAACCTAGCCATCAAAACTGAGTATGATGCTAGAGGAGGGAAAAATGATTTTTAATGAAATAGAAGACTTTCAAGCATTTCTGATGAAAGGACCACAGCTGTGGAGAAATTTCGAAGTTCAAATATAGGAGTGAGGAGAAACAAAAAGTTAACATTAATGAACAATGATAAAGGGCTAAATAAGCACAAACTTCTTACATTCAGATATGGGGAGATGATTCATGTGTACCCTCTGATCCTTATCATCATCAGGATTCATACATGGGCTTCAATTAGATATAGCCTGGAAATGGTTATATTATATCTTGATGATCTTAAGACAAGAACAAAAAGAGAGGGGAAGAGAAATACATTGCAGTGGGGGAGAAGGGAAAGGAAGATTAGGGAAACTTATCTCACAAAATCAGGGTGCACACACAGATATCTATACAAACAAATGGGGGAGGTGGCTGAGACTTGAACTTTACTCTCATCCGAACTGATCAAAAGGAAGAGTCCACCCACACAGCACATTTCACTAAACAAGAAAATAGGAGTGAAAGGGGAAAAGGGGGTAGGGAAATTAAAGGGAGGGCAAATTAAGGGAGATATTCATCCTAAACAAAGTTAACTCTAAAGATATAAATAAAGATATAGATTTAAAGATACTTATAGCCCTTTTTGAGGTGGGAAAGAATGGGAATCTGAGGGGGTGTCCATAAATTGTGGAATGAATAAACAAGTTATATATTTAAATATGATGGATACTATTGTGCTAAACTCTTAGCAATATAATGACCAACTAAGATTCCAGAGGCCTAATGAAGAAAACATGCTACTTAACTCCTGATAGAGAGATGAAGGACTGAGAACATGACAATTTTTTTCTTGACATAGCCAATGTGGAAATTTGCTTTGACTACACATATTTGTAATAACTTTTGTTTTTCTTGTGTTCTTAGTAGTAGGGGAGATGGGGTAAGAGGATGAGAAGACAGATCTTGGTTGATTAAAACAAATAAAATATTTTTTAAAAGTTAAGAACTTAAAAGAGACTGTGGTTCTATAGTTGATTGACTTGATAGTTTAAAAGTAATTTGCTAAATAAAAATGTACTGTCCTCACTTTGATTGCTACTTAGAACCTTGGGTCCTAGGGTCCTTGTACTGTAGTAATAAATAGCTAGAATTTATACAGCAATTTAAGGTTGCAAAATGTTTGCAAGTATTATCTCATGTTAACCTTATAACAACTATAGGAGGTAGGTGCTATTATTATTCCAGTTTTACAGATGAGGAAACTGAGATTGAAGGAGGTTAAGGGACTTGCTCCCAGTGCTAGTTAGTGTCTGAGGCAATATTTGAACTCGGGTCTTCCTGACTCCAGGTCAAGTGTTCTATCCCCAGTATGTACCACCTCGCCATCTCTTGACAATTACCAGGTGGCTTTGCAACAGGGAACATTTATAAGTTAAAGGGGACCTACCCTTCCACTCAGTCACAGGAGTTCAATCTAGGAAAGTAACTCCTCTTTTCCAGGTCTGACCCTTTAGCTAGGCAGATCAGAAATACCACAAGATTCTAGGATTTAGATGAGACCCCCTCGAAAGATCCTTCCACCCAACCTCTTTATAATGAACACAGTTTTCGAAGGAATTATTCTAGTCGATAAAAAAAAAAATTCCCCTTCCTTCCTTTTCTCCTTTCCTCCCTTCCTCCGTTCTTTCCTTCTCTCTTCTCTCTCCGCTCTTTTTTCCCCTTCCTTCCTACACCCTTGGCCTCAAATATGCGTTAGATGAGTGAATCAATAACTTTTCAGCCCCCAGTTAGGGTGTGTATAACAAAGGTATTTGAGAAGCCAGAGGGTATGATTTCCTCAGGAATAAATTAAAAGGAACTATGTCGAAACGTGAACCGAGGCACTCTCGGAAACACCCAGAAAGACTGTTACAGAAAATACTTTGCAGGTAAAGCTTGGCTCGGAGGGGTACATGCTCTTTGATCTCTACGTTCTCCACCTTTCAGGACCCTCTCTGGTGGGTTCTGCCCTGGCAGTTTCTCCCAGGTCCATCTCTGCGGTATGGGTTCATCTCTAGGTGTACCTGGGACCTTGACACCTTTGGTGAGCGCAGGTAAGCCCGAGGCCACGCGGCGGCGGGAGGAGGAGGGCCCACACGCGCTTTTCGCCTCTCCCGGGCGGCCCCCTCCGTTCCCTCGCGGGGCCCTTCCCCCCCCCAGCTGCTGGGGACGGGCGGCGCGAGCCAGGCGGGGGGCGGGGCAGGGGCGGAGCGCGGCGGGCGCAGCAGCTTTGGTGGCGCCGGGGGCGGCGGCGGCGGTGTGACGGCTGGGGCTGTGGTGGAGTGTGGTGCGGGTCGGGGAGCGCTGTGGGCCTGCTCCGCCGTCGCGGACCACCATGGCCACTTCTCCCGGCGCCGGCGGCTGCTTGGGGGTTTCCTCGCCAAACTTCCCGGGCTTTGGCTTTGACTCCGGACTGGAGATCAAAACTCGCTCGGTGGAGCAGACCCTCCTTCCGCTGGTGTCGCAGGTAAGATCGCGTCCTGAGCGAGCCCAGGCTCCCCGGCTCCCCGACCCCCTGACCCGGGCGCGGCCTCGGGGTCCCTGCCTCCATCGCGGGCCCCTGGGCTGCCGGGCCCGGGCGCGGGAGGCGGAGGAAGCGGGCCGGCGATGGCGGCCGGCCGCGGAGAGCGCGGGGGCGCCCGATTCCTCCCCAAACTCTGCAGGAGCCGAGCGGAACGGGGGGACGGCGTGACTTCTGTCTATCCCGCCCGCCTCGTCTCCTTAACGGTCTCCGAGAACCGGACACAGCGTGTGTGTATGAGGGGCGGGGGCCGCCGAGCGCTAAAGTTTCCTGTCGGTCTCCCGAGTGCGAGAGACTGGAAGGCAGGCAGCGGTGCAGCCGGAGCGGGCGGGGGGCCGCGGGCAGCGCGGAAGGGAGGCGAGGGGGAGGCGAGGAGCCCAGGGCTAAGGGATCTGCTGCCCAGACTTAAGTGAAAGTGGTGAAGTCTTCCTGTTAGTTCTGTCTTTCTTTTTGTGTGCCCAGAGGGCAGGCAGCAAACCGCGAGCCAGAGATGGCAATCACCCTGAAAGGCACCCTGCAACTGCAAGAGACAAATGTGTTATCCCTTGGAGGGGGTGTGTGTGCGTGCGAGCTTTAGGTGCCATCTTAAAGTGGAAATACATTTGGGGGGCAATGCGCAGGTTGATCAAATAAATGTATATCCGTCGGAGGGGGTGTCTGTGCGCGCGCGCGCTTAGGTGGCTGTCTTAAAGTGGAAATACATTTCGGGGGCACCGCGCAGGTTGACCAAGTTTTAAAAAGGAAATCTAGATAAATAGGTAAAAGAGAGGGTAGCGTGTGGAGTGGGATGGGCTGGAAGAAAACGCGTTTTGTGTACCTCTTTGTTATTTGGTTAAATATATTTAAAAATTGATTGCACTTTTTTGCTTATTGCAAAAAACAAAAAACCAAACTCTTCAATATTGTGACTATTGAGAATAATTCAATTCTGTGTAGCAGTCCAAACCTATTTATCATACCTGGTTTTAAAAGTTTTAGTACATTTTGTAAACATTACCAAAGAAGGTACCGTGAACTTCTTTTTCTTAAACTCTGAACTTCTCAGATGAGTAATCTACCTTTTGTTTTCTATTTATTCACTACTTGTTTTTTCCTTAAGTTTCTGAATTTGGCCACCATCTTCCCTATGTCTTTAACTATTGCTTTGACTATTGAACTTTGCTTCTAGTCATTAATGACTTCTTCCTGGCCAAATCCCATATATAATCAGCTGTCTTGACCTCACTACTGCCTTTGCTAGTGTTGACATCATTTATTGAAGCTCTTTAGACTTTTAGCTTTCTACAGATTATGCTGCTATTTCCATTCTTCTCAGATTTCAAACACACACACACACACACACACACACACACACACACACACCCCTTATCATACACTGTGTTTCAACTCCCAAGGCTTAGTCTTGGGTTCCTTTGTCCTCTGCCCCTACACTTGCGGAATTTAACAAAAATGTAGCTGATTACTTAGTAGATACTGCATACTTTGCTCCTTAATATACATCTTCAGCCTAGCCCTTTCATGCTATCTTTTTAGTCAACTTGGATATCTCTTTGACATTTTAAACTTACTGTAGATGGTATCCCTATCCTTTCACCTTGCTTACTTAGCTGATACCAAGTACCATTGTTGCTCCTTAATTTACACACTGTCTTTTTAGTCTACTTGGATGTCCCGTTAACATTTTAAAATTGCTGTCCTTGGTATCCCCATCTTTTCACCATCTTTTATCACTAACTCCAGTTTTGAAACCTTAAAATTTCTCTTTTGCTAGTTCTTACTGTTCTCTGTATTCTTCCTCCCCACTTTTCCCCACCCTCATTAGCCTTTTCTGTTCATAAACTATGACTTAACACTTACATTAGATTGAAATGGAAAAGAGGACTTGTTGATTGAGAGTCTTTAAGACCAAACTGAGGAGTTTGTATTTGATATAATAATAGTGGCTACTGCAGTTTTATTAGCAGGGTGATGATTTGATACAAACAGTATCTGAAGAAAATTTAATATAGCATCCCATATAAGAAGAATTATAGCCTGGAGGTGATAGAAGCAAGAGCAGCAGTACTGTTAGAGAAACAAGACTTAGAACAAGTTGGTACAGGCACACCCCACCCAATGATATGAATTGATTCCCTGAAAATAGGACACTAGGTAAAACATTACCTACAGCAACAATGTTATAAAATGGAGATACAGTTCCAGGACAGTCAAAATTTAAACTTAAAATAAGTCTTTACAGAGACTTGAAACTAGTAAGATTGAAACAATGATGCAGAACTGAGAGAAGTAGAGCTTGTAGGAGATGGATAATACTGGAGCTGACTAAACTTGGCAGGGAGAAAAAGATAGCTATGGCATGAAAAAAGAGGTAAAGATGAAAGCTGGTGCTATTGTGGCCAGAGCCATTATAGGCCCAGCTCATCAATAGCAAAAATAAATAAATAAATAAAATTTTTTTTAAAAGAAGGAACTTCAAATTGGAAGGGTTTTTGTTCTCCCTTTTTCTTTGTCTTGGCAGAAAAATGAGTCCTGCACTGGAAGGGGACAGAGTTTCAAGAACAGTAGAACGAAGCACCTTTGCAACATTGCCTTGTCCTTCCCTAGCTCCCCACCCCAAAGTTGAAGCATTATTATTTGATGGAAGGAGTACCTCAGAAAAACCACACTGTTAGGTATAGGAAGTAGTCAAGTAACCATGGCATATATGACATAGGATTTTAGGACTTAGAACTGGAAATGGCATTTGAAATATAAGTCCAATCCCCTTATTTTACAAATAGCAGACAAGTAGTAAGTGGCAGAGTCAAATTTGAACCCAGGTCTTTTTATTCCAAATCCAGTACTCTTTTCCTTTTATGTCGAATATTTTGGGAATGCTGAATGTATGCATCTTTTTGACATTATCATGGTATACCAGCAGGTTCTGAATATAGAGAAATCTTTCTGTTAATAGACTTTTCACTGTTTCCAATTGATTTATAAAGCAAGAAAACAATGCTTCACTTTGAGTCTTAAGTGCTTAGTCAAACATTTTAACTGGGTTCCCTAACATTGCAGTAGGTTTTGGTTAGCATGTTTGTGTATATTATTGTTATCCTCATTATTATTATTTTGAGACTGAGTCTCCCTATCTTACTTCTGCTGAAAGCAGAGCAACCACTCACGGACCAATACTTACTGGTGCAGAAGCTTTAACTTGCTCCATTTTTATAACTTGGGCTGGGTTGTCCCTTTTTGACAGCTTGCTAGCCTTAGTTCCAAGGAGCTCACTATATTAGTGCCAGGCTTAATGTGGACACCAACTGGTTTTTAGCCCTACTGCAGTTCAGAAGGCCTGAATTCAAAGAATTCATCAGCCTTAGCACCCTCCCCATTCCCATTTCTGCTAGCTGCAATTACACACCTGACTGGTTAGTATATGTTACTGTTTCTGTTATTTCTAACAATAATAATAGTATATGACACAAATTATATAACACTTTAAGGTTTACAAATTTAAGTGATGTTGATTGGGTCAACATTTTGCAAGTGTATCTGTAGAAGGCTTTGAAGGCATAGAAAATTTTAGCATGTAGAAACTTCAAGCTGGAGAGATCAGCAGAGGTTATATGATCCAACCCCTCCCTCTTAAGTAGGAATCTGTTTTGTAACATTCCTAACAGTTGGTCATCCGGCCTTTACTTTAGCACTTCCATCATCAGTAAGCTCACTAATTATTTGTTGTTGTTCTTCAGTCATTCAATTGTGTCCAGCTCTTTGTGAACCCATGGATCATACTGCTTATGAAGTTTTTTTCTTGGCAAAGATACTGGAGTGGTTTTGCCACTAACTATTACAGAAGCTATTTTCCTTGTTGGGCAGCTCTAATTGTTAGAAAAGTCTTATCCTGCCTTCCTGTAACTTTCACTTGATCCTAATTTTACCCTTTGGAGTAACACCAAATAAATCTTTCCTTCTCCATGACAGTCCTTCAGATATTTTAAGTTAGCTATTCGTTCAACAGGTACTTATTGAATACCTACCATGTGAAAAGCAGTATGGCATAATGGATAGAGGACCCACCAAGTAATCAGGAAGATTTGGATTCAAATTCTGCCTCTGATGCTGGGCAAATAAATTACTTAACCCCAGAGCTTTAGTTTCCATAACTGTAAATTGTAGACAGGATTGTCTGCCTCAAAGCCTCAAATGAAATAATGTATGCAAAGTGCTTTGCAGACTTTAAAGATGTGGATAAATGGATAGATGCGTGCATGTATCTATGTGTGTGTGTGTGTGTGTGTGTGTGTGTGTGTGTGTGTACATATATATGCCAGTTGTTTTTTGTTTTGTTTTTATTTTAGCACAGACTTGTGATTTCAGGAATTTCTGGTGTGGAAATTCTCTTCACTTATACAGATCATTAGCAGCTTCTCTAGCTTATAATTATAGGGAATTGCATATGGCACTAATAGGCTAAACTATTTGCCCATGATTACATAGCTAGTATATTGTAGAGGAAGGAGTTGAATTCAAGTCTTCTTGGCTCCACGACACCCCTGTATACCATGCTGCTTTTCATAAATGCCAGTTCTCGTAATAATATTATTACCATGTGTAGGAAGATACTATGCTAGGTGCTATAGTTACTGTCTCCCTTTATTTTTTGGTGTCTCTTCCTCAAACCAAATATCTTTGTTCTTTTAACAGTTCCTTTCACATCACCCTTCCAGAATGAAGTTTAGTTTGTCAATGTTTCTCTTAAAATGTAGTATCCACCACCAAAGAAAGAACTGGTAGATTCTGAATGAAGATCAAAGCATACTATTTTTCACTTTCTGTATTTTTTTTCATTTTTTTCCCCTTTGGGTCTGTGTCTTTTCACAACATGACTAATATGGTGCTATGTTTTACATGACTGAATATGTATAAACTATAGCAAATTGCTTGCTGTCTCAGGGAGGGAG